TACTTCAAAATAGGACCTGAAATAAGTAGTTGTATGATTTTAAGCCCAGAAAACACGGTAGGTGTGATTTGCAACATGAATTGAACCAAATTCTATGGTTGTGTAACATCACTGAAACAAAAAGTTGAAGAACAAGAAGAGACAGTACCAATCTCACTATTTGTTTATCTGATACTTTCTGTCAGAAGACATTGTGTAACTTATTTGTTGGGATTTTTGAATAACTTTCTGCTGTTATTTGCAGCAGACCTTTGAAAACTCACCTAACAAAAACTCCTTTGGGTAAAATGTCTTTTACTTGTCCAATAAAATTACCAAATAAGTTCTAAAGTCCTAAGGAGAAACTTCTATTTACTGTCTGCTTCATCCTGAAAGTTTTTCAGGGCTTTAAAAACAACAGCCTGCCAAAGGAAACTGATTTGTGGTTTCATTAAACCGGTCGATGCTTAATCTGCTAATTTACTGTAGGTGCATTTGGGAGTAACTGATCTTGAATCCAAGTAACAGACCCTCGATGTTGTACATTTTCTTCTTAATGAAAAGTCTGAACATATGTCAAACATAAAATTAAATGTAAATAAATCAAACTGTAAATGTAAAGAAGCAAAACATTTTTTTTGTTCCTGCAAATACGTTTATTTTGAGCCCTGGCTTTGTCAGAGGTTGTTTCGATACATGCTCTTCAATATTGTTCTTGAGAAAATTGTTATGAGAAAGGTACAGAGATTGTCTAAATAGTTCAGCCTATGTCATCCAGTCAAGGGTTGGTCAGTAATTAAGGCTTTGCATTTTTGAGTTTTGTTGCTGTTGTTTTTTGCTTTTTTTTTTAATCTGAGTCAGTTTAAAATGTTTTATTTGACAAATTTGGTGAGTCAAAGGCAGAGTTTGAACTCCCAAGCAGGGTCTCAGTGCCCAGAACTGACGCTCCCAGCCAGGCTGGACAGGGCTGGGTGATTCCCATCCTTGGGGCTGCCAGCTGTGCCCAGCGGGGGCTCAGCTTCTGGTTCTCCAGGGCACACCTGGAAGACATAAGCCATAAAATCTTGAGTGGAACCACTTTTCCTCAAGCTTCTGAGGTCCTTTTTGCGTGGCCAAGGCTTTGTGCTTGGAAGCTGAGTGCTGAAGTGCAGGTGTCTGTGGCTTTGGGGCTCTGGCTGCCCCAGGCTGCCATGTACCATCCTGGCATCTGGCTGGTGACATCTGCAGAGCCTCAGGCACTCTCCCTGCTCCTGTGCAAGCCAAGCAGCTGTCAGCTCCCTGGATTGTCACAGTGTGTGGTACACAGTGTGTCTGTGTAAAGAGTAATGAACTTGAGTCACTGTATATTCTCCCTGTCTGACTGTGAATGCTTTAAACTGCTCAAATTTCTTTATGTGATAAAATACAAAGAAGCTGAATTCTATAAAACTTACCAACTCCATAATTCTTCTTTGTCTTTTGGTGCATTGGTTCACCAGTCTGCAAAGCAAAAGCAGGCAGGGTTTGCCTGTAAGTCTTAATACTTGGCCAAAACATTCATGTGTTCCAGCTTCTGGAATAGTGAAAATAGTAGTAGATCCTTTCCGCTCTGAGTCTTAAAGCAGGATTAAAGTTGGTTGTCAGAAAAGAAGGAAAAAAAAATTAAAAAGGGCCTAATTTGCTTTGGCCTGGCTTGCTCCTGATACATTCATTCTAAACCAAGATGATTAGCATAGCAGAGCATTCCCAGAGTATGTGAATATGCACTTCTATTGAGAGGGGATTTGCTGGCTGGCTGCTTATGGCAGCCAGTGTTCTTGTCTAGGTTTTAATTTGTTTGTTTGTATGTTTGATATGTTGTTAGGAGTTATAGGATTGAAAAGCTTCCAAAACTCCTATCCAGCCTCTCAAAATATGACTGCAGAAAAATGCATGTTTGTTTTTGGAAAATAGATGTTCCTTTTACAAGATAGGTGCTCAGCTGTGTTTTTGGTGGGGATGTAGAACCTGGGTATCCAGTTAAAACTTTCAGCTGTTGCTCACTTGGCCAAGCTGACAAAAATTACTTTCTGCTTGCTTCAAATACAGTGGCACTTTACACTATTGTTTTGGAAAAACATGCAGCTTGAAAAGAATATATTACTTTTTGAAAGCCACACTGTTTCTTGCAACAAAAATGGCTGCTGTGCTACCAGTTCCATGTACCTGCAGGAATGAGGGAGCTGCAGATTTCTTGAAGCATTCCCTGCCTCATTACACACATTATATGAAGTGCTACTAAAATTGTTTCATTTTTGTTTCAAAATAATGAAATGCTTTGAGATCTACTCCATTGTAAATTCTTGTTATTAAGCATCATTCTTTCAGAGAATAAACTTCCTTTTATTATCAACGGAAGATCCTGAAGATGAATGTGGGGGTTAGGAAGAGTAAATATTTCCTTCATTGTGTGCAGGTGAAACCGTTCTGGTCCCCAGCTGAGGGGAGGCACCAGGCTTGGTGTTGTCTTCCAGGCAGCTGCTCTGAGAACAGAGCTCAGGCCTAAGGCTGTGCATGTTCTTTATACTCTCAGTAAAGTGATGGAAAGGGCCACCAGGCTCGATGAGCTGCTGGAATAGCTTGAAACAATCAAATTTAATTACTTTTTTCTTTTTTTTTTTTTTTATTTTATTTTTTTAAGCAATGATGGGAGAGTGAAAAACATCATCAGGTCCAGAAGTATTTTCCAATAGGAATTGGCTTTGCAGTATGAATCTTGAAGGGATCAAAGAAGGAATAAATAAATTAAGAGCAAGGGGGTGTAAGGCTGTGCAGAGGTGGACAAGCAGCTCTCTTCTGAGTGGACTTTTCTTTTAATGCTATAGTGTAGAATACTTGATGTAGAGGTCAAATGCTGTACAATGTGTTTTATACTTGGCACTCAGACCTTTGATTTTTTTAGGCATCAGTCTAGCTAAGAACTGCAATATATTTAATTTTGATGAGGTGCTCGTTAGTTCACTCACTCCTCTCCATCCTCCACGCTTCGTAGCTGATAGCTTTGATGATGATGACACTAAATCACACACTTCCAGTTTAGCATTTCAGCATTTGGCTGTTTTTCTATAACTAATCCTAAAATGTTCTTCTTAACAATTTTATGTATAGCAAAGGATCTATCTTTTGAAATCATGGAAGCTAAAGTCAGTGAAAAGTCTGCTTTATGCTATAGACTTCTACAGTCTCCAGAGGAAAAGCACAGCTCCTTTCATATTTGTCTCCGGACTGCTCATCAGTATCTACAATATGACATTCACACATATTTTTGACCCTGAATTTGTGCATTTCCAGAAGCGTAGGGCTGTAAGTAAAGTAAATGAGGAAATTTTCTTGTCAAGCTGAAAAAAAGTCATTCCTGTAATCCGAAAAGCTCAAGAAAATAAGATAATCATTACATTTGATAACAAAGCATGGTTGGGGGCTGCAGAGAAATCAGTTACTGTGGAAAACTTAAATAAACAGTTTGTACAGCCTCAGCATAAGAGATAGATCCACAGAGCTGCTTTAGGGGATTCAGAGGCGAGTAACCACCTATCCACAGCATTTAGCACCTGGTGTATTGTACCTTTGTGAGGCAGAATGCACCTGAAACAGGAAGTGCTGCTCTCTGCATTAAGGAGACTTCTTCGAAAGAACAAGAGAAATTAGTCTTAAATACTCGGTTTCTATTTTCATAGTTTATTTTATCATGATTGGATTCCTTCTGTAGACCCAATCTTCTTAATAGTACTATTCATCTCTGGCAAAGGTTAGACTTGAGGAAATCTAGGACTGAGATGAAAGAATAGAATTTATATTATTTAGCAGCTGAATGTGTCATTACATCAGAGTTGGTATTGTGTAGCAAATTGCAAGCTGTAGTGAAATTGCTTTAAAAAATATCTGTATGTATTTTTCTAAAACTGTGATAAAGTCATTTAGCAGCACATTGAAATGCATTTCTAGCTGAAGTGTTATATCATATCTTTTTTTTCCTGTGGTACAAGAACAGATGGCAGCTATTTTTCTTACCAGTCTCCAGCAAAGCTGCTGCAATGCTTTGCCTTCCCTTGTAAATGCTTTCAAGTGAAAGACAAGTACACACGACTAAAATGAATCTGCATTGTAACACTGGATTGGGGTTTCTAAAGCGAACTTTTAATCAGCTTACAACATTAGGCTGGTGATAATTACTTAATGTCCTATCAGTCAAGTAGTTCATTATGACAGGAAAATGAGCCGTTAGAATCAATGGCACGTTTTGCAATAAGTTTTTGGAGCAGATGTCTTTCTTCATAGACATTTTTAATGCAATTCTATGACTTGAACACAACTGCAGTCACTCCCCAGGGTCACACATTGGAGGATTTGGAGATGCTCTCTGTGACTTTATGGCATTCCTGGGGGGACTGTGATTGATCTGAGAACCTCAGCTGATTGTTCAGTAGCTGGTGTGTCAAAAGAGCTCCTGCCCCTACAGTGACAAAAGTGTTTAGTGATTCTATACATTCTTATAAGCACAGTATAAATTGCAATGTTTTTGAAGGATTTTGTTTTAAAATCATTGCTACCTTAGCACTAGTTTGGCAACTCTGAGAAGGCGTGATGGAAATGTCTCTAAGTACAACCTGGTGTAATGTTGCCTGCATCACCAGTAATGCTGTGTACCTCAAGAAATGCTGTATTCTGAAGTGAAATCATTTTTAGTTATAAATCTAAATGAAACCACCAAGTGTTGTAAATCTAGGGCTGCCTACCAATTTGACTTTTTAAATTGCCTGCTGTAATGTGCCTTATTATAAAAGCATTGTTAGGAGCTGTATTTAATTTACTTGCTTTAAATTATGGTTTAGTAGACTTGGCAGTGCTGGGTTAATGGTTGGACTCGATGATCTTAGAGGTCTTTTCCAACTGAAATTACTCTAAATTAATGCTATACTGCAAATCCATTTTTATTCAGAGAAGCTTTAATTCTTCTGTTACATACAAACTTTTCAAAAACCGTGGTGTGTCTTATTTTACAGCCTTCGACAAAAGAAAGGCAACTTGGCCCAGAAGCACTGGGCTGGAGCAGCCAACATAAAGTGCAAGCCCTGCCCCGTGGCACATTCCAGCGCTGTGTGCGGCTCCGATGGACACACCTACACCACCAAGGTAAGCTCTGCCTGGGCCTCAGCTCTCCTCAGCACTGCTCAGCCGGGATGTGCAGTGAGGTTGAAATACCTCTTGTTATCAGACAGTGTTAAATTGCACTCTTTGCTAATCTAGGAATATGTTTTCAAGTAAAAAGTGATGATAAATGTAGGCTTTTCCATATCTGACAACAGCCAATCAGAATCCCGAATCACATTCTTGTGACTTTCCTGATTCATGTTTCTCTAAACAGCTTGTTCACTTAATGAAGTAGAACACTTCTAATATTGATGATGCAACTGAAAAAAAATATCATTTGATGTGATTGGCTTGTTTAAACAAGAGGATTTGGGGATAGTTCCTTTTTTCAAGACTTGGTCTCCAGATCAGAAAAGAACTTAGCAGAATCATTCTTCAGTGATAGATTTATTTTTGTCACTTTTTTCCTAGACTGCATGGGTGACATATTACAATTCATTTAGCCTGTGGTTTTAATAGGCTTGTGTGCCAGATGCAGAATATGTGGTACCATAAAAAAATTCCCATAACCCAGTGGGGATAAATTGACTCGTTGTTATACTGAAAATACGATCACCTTAGGGCTTGACTCAATAAAAGAAAATGTCTTCACAGCCATTCAGCATTCCAGATCTCCCATTACCAAATAAAGCCTTCCATGCCTTGGACACATGTCCCAGAAACAGCACTTCAGGCACTAGAAAGTATGTTTTGGGGAATGCCCTTAAGGGTCTCTTATCTTCATGTCTGCAAAGTAATGTTTGACAGCCAGTAAAACTACCTTTTAAAATCCAAAAATAGCCTTCACAAAAAAACCAAAAAACAAAACAAAAAAACAAACAACAAAAAAAAAAACCCAAACAAACAGGAAAATAAAGCTATTTGGCAAAAAATCTCTCTGCTGTGTTGTAACAGATACATTATTTTCTCAGCTGGGCATCTTGAATTCTGCACTTATTAATGGACACAAATATTAAAATGCTGCCGTGCCTTGGTAGTTTCAGCTACTCTCCTGTTCTGGCTCAAGGATTTGCATGGCCAGAAGGAGCAAATCAGAGCAGAAACTCTCATCTGTGCACACAGACTGCAGGAAAAATGGCCACATGTTGTCTGTTAAACAAGTTACTCTTTAATACTCTCTTGGAGTGTGTGTTGCAGTAATTTAGCTTTGGTATTTGTGGTTAAGATGGACTCATTTTAAAAACAGCTTTTTCTGTCCAAATTCCTGAGTCCATAAGACATTCTGTACTAAATAGATTTCATTTCACGTTCTGTCATGCTATTAACTCATTTCTGTGCATCTTACCTGCATCTTTATTAGCTCCGAATGGGTTTTTGGCTTTCTCTATTTCCTGCCATAAGATCTAACTGGTTTTCATCAGACATACTGCCAATGTTATAAATTCACCAAGTTATTGTGATTATGATATAAGCCTGACAGCTACAATGAAGGCATGAAACATTTCCTGGTGCTGACATGTTTGACTGTCAGACACTTCCCATAAGTTGCCTTTTTGGGTTTTGGAGTTTTTTATAAAGCAGATTTTTTAAAGATTTATTCTGAAACAACTTTGTCTCATTTTCATTTATTGTATGTTTTACTATCAATTGCTCCTGTCCTAGCAAAATTCAATTTTTAATTTTTTTTTAGAAGATGAATTTTGGTAAATGAGCTGAAAATACTTTAGGGAAAGCATTAAAGTAAAATAGTACATGTTAGTGTCCTAAAAATATAACATTTTTATGATCAGGAATGATCATGAGTTTCTGGTATCTTTTACAAAAAGAACATGCTGCTTCCCTCAAACTCACTGTTAAAATTCAGCAATGCCATCCCTTTTTCTTGCCTTCAAGTTACTAAAATCAAAGTTTTCTCAGTAAATTTTCTTTCACATGCCAGTGCTGTTGGCATGTATTATCTGTGGCCCTGCAGTGCTGTCATGTTCTGGTGTTGACTGTGAGGATGCAGCAGGGTGGACTCGGGCGCGGGCGCTGCTTTGTGCAGGGATGTGTTTGCTGATCCCTGGCTCTGCTGCCTTGGGAACCTGCAGTGACGAGCTGGGCAAATGGGCAGATTCTTAAAAGCTTATAAACAAAGAATGGAGAGAGGCCACTAAGTTTCAGGGGGAAAAACTCGTCTGAAGCTGTGTATCAGGCTTCCCTTGCTGCTGGCAGCCAGGTGGGACACGCAGGCACAGCAGCAGTTGATCCATCCTGGCTGCAGGTGGGTTTGGCCTCTCCTGCAGGTGCAGAGGGGCTGAGGTGGGAGAAGGGCTTTGTGGTCCCTGTTCCTGGCCTGCCAGAGCAGCATCACAGTGTTTCAGTGGTGACCTGGGGCGGCCATCCTACAGCAGCAATGTTTGTACCAGGCCTGGCCATTTCCATACTTAGAACTGTTATCTGAGGAAAAAAATGAATGAAAAGACACAACAGAAGTGTGTCTGACTGATCAAATGCAGATGAAACTTGGGTGTCAATAAATGCCCAATAATTCACATTAAGAAAATACACACACACACACTAAATATACATCTCACAGGCTCTCATTTTAGCCATTTGAGCCTCGAATAATTCCAGCTGTTTCTCAGGAAACATTGGAGACCTGGAGGCAAGAATTTCTTGACAAAATCAGGGGAAGTCAACCAAATCAATAATAAAAGGGTTCTAGTGGAAAAAATAACAGAAGATAAACTAAAGTTCATTTTTTGAGCTTACTGGTTGATGTAGATAGAGGTTCAGGATGTTTAACTAAGCCTTGCAGTTCCACCAAAGACATGGAACCCTTCATCCCCACAACTAATTTATTGAGGGCTAGTCAAAGGAATCTTTTGTCTTTTTCTTTTTCCATTGGAAAACTTTCAGTGGTGTTGATCTCCAGCACAATGACAAATGGTAAAATGTAAAAAATTATGAAAATACCATGCCTACATCTTGTGCTACAATGATTTAAGTGTCACCTAAACTGTAGGAGACACAAGGTAATGAGAACTTCAATGGCTCTAAAGCTGATTTAGCTTCATGTGTGGGAGTTGTACTGCTTTAAAAAAATCTCAGCACCCTTTAGGCATTACACCTTTTTGGTTCTTGAAAACTTTATCTGGATTATTTCATCTTCCACACACAAGTGCTAAAGTGGAAATTGATAATCCTGTTGGGCTGTAGTGTGTGGTGGGGTTTTTATTATTCTAGTTTTGTTTTTCAGATGACAAACTAAATCTTCTAAGCAATGGGATTCTTCAGTTACACCAATAATTCAGAACTTCTGCATGACAAAATTTGAACACAGATGTAACCTGTATGAACTCAGTTGCTGTACCCTGTTTTCAGCAACTGAAAAATTAGTGTTTTTTGAATTTGCAGAATTTGCTTGTATTTCTGGAAACTTTATAAATTATCACCCTTTCTTGTGAGCTTTGAACTCTAAGAGGCTTAAGTTTATCAAAGATTTCACTGATTTTTTTTTTTCTAGTTGCTGCTTGAAATGCAGGTGTTTTAAAATGTACACCATCTCTCACATAATAACTTTGTACAAAGAAGTTTCCTGGGTATAACAGCTCTATTTAATATTGTGACAATACAAAGCACTTCCATAGGTTATTACAGGCAGAGTTTTCAAAGCTCTTTAAAGTACTAATGACTTAAGCTTATGAGGTACGTAAGCCCTGTAAAGAGCTCGATGTAATTAGTTAATGTTTTTGTGAGCAACACATTAAGAAGAATAACTTTGTAGATGTCAGTTTTGCAGGAACTTTAATTAAGCTTTAATAAAGCAATTACCTGAACATGACGATGACTGTACTTAACTAGTCAGAAAATGAAAATTAGGATGATCTTAAATTACAAAACACACCACCTCAATGACTAATGGTCCCTTCAAAGATGGAAAGGTACATTGGCACAATTATTATGTTTCTAATTAGGTACATTGTTGTTCTGCAAATTTTAATTAAATCACTGTGAACTAATTAAGTCCATGATCATGTCTCTTTCTGTTTGAAAATGTAAAAATCACATCCTATTGTCATAACATTAAGTAATAAATTTGATATTAAGGGATGTACAAGAAAAAGAAAAAATTAACAATAATCTTGAAACAGAAGAAAAAAATAACAACCAAAATAATGAGACACTATTAGTTAAATGTGCAATGTGAAGGCTGCTACATTTAATTAGGGCGGATCTGTATGCAGAAGCACAATTAGCAAATACTTGTTAAATTGTCTAACTGTTCAGTATTTAGTGCAACATGGTTTGGTTTTCCATAATCAAACTATTGGCTGGACTACCTGTCCTTGAGCTCTGGGGTGCTGCTCCTCAGCTTTGGTTTTGCACAGCTTTTCCTCTCTGTTATTGGTCTGAGGGATGTCATTGGCCTCTCCTGGTGGAAAACAAGATACTCGGCAAAGACTCAGCCTGTGTGCCCAGTTAGATAAAGAGTTAGGTTGAATTGTCTGCTAATTTTTAGCTTTGGTCTGGTTTTGTAAGGGAAAATTAAGGAAATGAGAGAGGAGGTGGGGGAAGGGAAAGTGAGACATAATAGTATATGATTAAAGAATTTCATGGGGAAGAAAATCATGTCATCTTTAGGCATCTTCTCCCTCTATGCATTTTAAAGATTGTTGGTGGGAGGTACAAGAATAAACTATTCTTTCATGCATCTCTGTGTGGAAATTGATAGATTCTATGGGATGTGACCATTCTGAATGAACTTTCTACAGGAAAAAGATTTTGCAGTATTGTAACTACTTCCTTATTCTAGCAGTAGATTTTCAGTATTATCCCTGGTTTTTTTATTTGACTCCATGTGTTGCAGAGGGTTTCCTAACTGCAGCAATACATCAGAGACTTTTAATACTGCTGACTTTATTCTCCCAAATAACCACTGGGAAACTCCAGAGGACTGAGAGAGCTAGAGTTGGCCTGATGTGGAGTACAACCTTTGTACATCCCTCCTTTGACTTTAGCACATCTGGCTCCTGCATTCCCACGAGGTAGATGTTCCC